TTGGGGGAAATCCTCCCCTGACCCGTGCATATATGCAGTGCAATTGCTACTAAACATTTAGGGTGCTTAGCACAATGTACGGCACAGGAAGGTTTCTCTACAGAGAAAAGAGAGAAAGACAATATTGCATAGAAATGAAAAAATGGTATGCAACCGAATAAGAATACCTTCCCAAGATAAAGTATAAAGAAGAAAGACCCCTCCACCGCCAGCAAACAAATATGGATGATGGAAAAAAAAATATGTAATCCAGGAAGTGGAATTCCAACCCCAAGAGAAGAGAAGGACAAATTCCTTGCTGCTATCTGCACAAGAGACTTGAGAACCAACAGAACAGAGGGCTTCAGGGAGAAGTTACCTAGAAGATCAAAAAGCATTTAATAATTAAATTCCACATATGAATGAAATCATATGGTATTAACAGATAAACAAAGGGGAAAAGAGGGAAAAATAAAATAATACAAAACAGAGAGGGAGGCAAACCGCAAGAGAGTCTTAACTATAGGAAACAAATTGAGGGTTGCTGGAGGGGAGGTGGATCGGGGAATGGGGTAACTGGGCATTAAGGAGGACTTGTGATGGCATAAGAACTGGGTGTTGTATGCCATTACTTTCCTTTAGGGGATGACAGACGTCTATCAGGCAGTAGCGCTGATCAGGGGATTCCTGACTGACTGGTTTAAGATTCCATTCCTGGAACAGCAAATCTAGAACTAAGCCTCTATTTGGTGGTGTGGGGCTTAACCTAAGTGACCCAATGTTGAGCACATTGTTTTGTTTTTAACATTACTTTCTCCTGTGTATAGCAATGCCATAAGCATCTCTCTTCTCCAAATTTCTTGGACTCACAATTGTCTGGCATTAATGGATTAATTTCTCACTAATATCCAACTTATTTGTTAACCCTCCTAAGCCCTTCTGTCTCCCGTTCTCCTCCTCAGTGTTGCTTCTCAAGCCCTCAGACCTGCGCAGGTATGTCACATCCACCAGAAATGATCCTTCTTTTGTTGCTTCTCTGTCCTTTCCCTTCTGCCTGAGACTCACTGTATATTGCTGCTTTAAGAAATTACCACAAACAGCAGCATCTGGATGGCTCAGTCGATTAAGCATCTGCCTTTGGCTCAGGTCATGATCTCAGTGTCCTGGGATCGAGCCCCACGTCATGCTCCCTGCTCAGCTGGGGGTCTGCTTCTCCCTCTCCCTCTATGCCAGCTCATGGCCTTTCTCTCTCTCAAATAAATAAAATGCTTAAAAAAAAAAAGAAAAAGAAGAAAAGAAATGATCACAAACAATAAAACAATGAAAATCTCTTATGCCATAGTTTCTGTAGATCAGAAATCCAGAAACTTTAAATGTTTAGGGTCTCTCCAAGTGATCACAGTGATGGCAGGGCTGAGTTCCCTACTGAAGAGTCTGGGGAAGAGGCTGCTTTGAAGCTCATTTAAGCTGTTGGTTGAATTCAGTGCCTCATAAAAGTAGGACTGACATTTCAAGTTCCTTACTGACTATTAGCTAGGGGCTTGCAGATGCTCCTTAACATTGTCCACACCACTCTCATGCTGTTCATTCTGCCCCCTCCAGTCATTGTGGACAGACCACCTCTCTCGTTTTGAATCTGACTTCTTCTGCCATATTTCTCTGATTCCAGCCTGAGAAAGTTCCCTAATTTTAAGGACTCATGTAAATCAATTAGGTCTGCATGGATCATCTAAAAGGAAAAAAAATTCTTAAGGTCCATAATCTTAATTATATCTTCAAAGTCCTTTTGCCATGAGATGTGTATGTTCATATGTACCAAACATGGACATCTTTGTGGGGGGCATCTGCCTACCACATTCCCTTAAATAATATTTGCTCATAATTTGAGAGTCAAGAGATGCACCTGAACATCTCTGACTGCCCTAGAATATTACAAATCCCTCTCCTTTGCTCTGTCCTACCTTGTGTCTTTTATCTTCAGTCACTGAAATAAACATGAGTGTTTCCTTAGGAGTCTTCCTAACTGGGCTATGAACAGTTATGCTTATTTATCTACACATTCCCCAAGACTAAAATCATGTCTTCCATTGAATAAACGACTTGATTTATAATCACTTTTGTTACCATACACCTTATACCTTATACCATAGACCTAAATTTAGGGTAAGAATTGTGACCTTGTTTAAATGAAAAGACAGCATTTTTTTTATATGGGAAATTAAAGAGCAAGAATTATGACAAAAGTCCAGTAGACACAGAATACTGATAAATCCGTGCATATTGATTGGGGTTTGGGTGGTTTCCTGACCTTTTCCCATGACCATCTGTGTGACTGCCAGAAGGTGCAGGAGGGGATTAGGTGACACACTGAATCCTTTGGTCTGACTTATCTACGAGTTGGAGTTTTTGGAAGTGATGACTGTATTTTCAGTCTGGTTCATCCCAGACAATCATTAGGTAATCTGAGGGCTTCTTTCTAAACCCAACTTCTTTTACTGTCCTCCCAGGAAAACAAATGTAGATGTTCCATATTCCCAACAGTCCATGAGTACCTGAGCTGATAGAAGCTCAAGGGACTTCCTGGGTGGGGCCTTATATTCTCAGGCCAGGGAGTTGGTGGACGTAATCGGGTGGGGGTTGGGGCAAGGCACGCAGAGCCCCCATTACCCTCTTCCTTCCTCTGCACCTTCTGTCTGTGGAGCTCTCGTAGGTATGTCAATGGGAGGGTCAGATACTCCAGTCTCAAGCCTTAAGGTGCTCTGCCCCTGAGTGGTATAATATGACTGTCTGAAGGAGGAAAGCCTGTCCCTAATTTGAGTCAGGATTTTTTATTTCCTGCACATGTTTCCTTTCATCACCTTCCCAGTTCTACATTTGCTAGATGTTGCTCTTGTTCTCTAAATCCTGCCATGCTTTCTGCTTTAGACATGACTTTCCCATCAGGCTATACCTGGATATAGATGCTTTGATGTGAACAAGCACCCCCCAAATATCTGGCACAAGGGGCATATATAAAAAGATACTGGCTGCTTTGGAAGCCACTTGGCAGGACCTTACTTAGTGCTAAAAGACCCTATGATCAATCAAGGGCATCTAAATATTGCATGCAGAGACAAACAAACATGTTTAGGAAGAGTTTTCAGGTAGGGAAGACGAAGAAGCCCTAAAAATATGAAGAGAGGGGAAAATGCATCCTGTCAGGAAAGGTTAGAGGAGACCTGAGTCAGATGGAGGTTTGGCAAAGGTAGATGAATGGCTGGAGGTGAGGGCAGAGAGCAGCTCTAGAACTCAGAGTTGCAAAGCCCTGAAAGTTTTCACACCTCTCCGCTTTTGGATCCTCCCAACCCCATTAGCTCAGTTTCTTAGTATCTCTAGTTTACAACAAAGAGACCAAAAAACCCAGGAGAGATCAGTGACTCAGGGGGTACGTCTCCTGTGTGAGACCTTGCACTAAAGTGCAAGAGGGGCTCAACGACAAAAGAGAGTCAGGGCTGAGTTCTTGGAGCTGGCGAGTCAGACGATAAGATAGAATTCACAAAGCTTTCATGGAGACCAGGCAGGGAAATGGCACAAAACGAGATGCAAACTTACAGTTATAAGAGCTGTGGCAGAGAGACAAATTACTACTGCTGGCCATGACCAGCAAGTCTTCATGGCAGAGGGCATCGCTGGTCCTGACCATGGAAGATGGACTGAATGGGTATGATCTCATGCTCAGGGCAGCCTTTGGGAGCTGAGGGGCTGCAGTTCTTATCCATTTGGTTTCCTTGAGGTACAAGGAAGGGAATTTTGAGGATTGAGGCCAGAACTACTGATTTAGTACTGACTACAAAGGACTTCAATTCTAGGCTAATGAGTTTGGATTTGATCCTTTGGTAATGAGGGAGCATTCAAGGCCTCTAATGGGAACAGTGCCATTTTCAGATCCTACCTTTTAAAAATATTAGTTTAGTTCTACTATAGATTAAAGTAGTCCTATTCCAGAATGAAACAGAGAGTGGCGTGAGCTTTATTAGGAGGCTGTTATTATGGTACAAGAATGTGATTGCTTGGGTCTGCAGGGGAGACTGCAGATGAAAGGGAATAGAGGAAGGTACTGACAGAGGCATTTTTGGGGTCAGTATTTTCCTTGGGTCTTACCTGGTTTAATGTAGTAGATAAAGAAAGAAAGTCAAAATGATATTTGGATTTCAAGTCTCAATCTTAGGCATAATGATGGTATTATGCAAAGAGATGGAGAACATAGATAAGAAGCAACTTCATGGAATAAATAAATGATTATTGATCCAAAAGTCAGGTGCCATTTGGTTCTGAAAGACATTATTAAGAACTAACTTTTAGTAAATTAAATTATTCAGGGAGAAAAGTGATGATACAAGTTAACTGGATAGAAGAATGCAAAGATGAGTGGGAATATGGGAGTCTAGTGCATCTTGTTGAATGTGTGGAAGGTTATCTCTATGGATGGATATATTTCTACCCATTTATCTTCTGTCAGGATGAATGGATAGAAGAACTGACAGACTATAGAAGAGTAGAGAAGTTGGAGAGCCAAAATAAGGTAGTAAAGTTTCAGTAGCATGAGAGAGTGGAACGAGGAAAAGATTATGGTTTGGGAAGAAACGACATGCTAAGAAAGAGGACTGCATTAGCAAGGAAGTAGTGATCAGGTCCATTTTGTCGCAGGTCTTGAATAAAGTGATGCCCAGAGATCGATGAAAAGAATTCACCGCTTTAAATATGAGAAGGAGAATTGTGGCAGTGGGCACAGGTGTAAAGGAAGGCAATGTGACCTATTTAGCCAACTGGATAAACTGAGAAAACTCAGACAATTCCAGAGATCCTGGTGACAAAGAGAGACAGGGATAAGTGATTTGGTGAACAAGATTGATTAATACTCTAAAGTAAGGGGTTGGATGATACATGAGAGTCTTAAAATATTAGGTCTATGCCTTGAATTAAACTGTATGTTTGTCTTCTTTACAGACTAGTGGTCCTAGAACCCAAGCAGTAGTGCCAATATGGGAGGTAAGCCCCACAACAGCTCAGAGTTGCCTCCCTTCATCCTGACAGGGCTCCCAGGGCTGGAGACCTCCCAACACTGGATGTTTCTGCTCCTTGGTATCCTCTACATTGTCTCCATTGTGGGCAATGCCCTTATCCTTTTCATTATCAAGGAGGAACAGAGTTTGCATCAGCCTATGTACTACTTCCTATCCCTGCTATCAGTTAATGACCTAGGTGTGTCCTTTTCCACACTGCCCACGGTGTTAGCCACATTTTGCTTCCACTTAAGAACGATCAGTTTTGATTCTTGCATGGCTCAAATGTTCTTTATCCACCTCTTCTCCTTCATGGTCTGGAATTTTGCTGGTTATGAGTTTTGACCGCTATGTGGCCATCTGTAACCCATTGCGTTATGCCACAGTGCTCACTGATGCCCGTGTGGTGCACATGGGCATGGCTGTCATCATCCGCAGTTTCTGTATGGTTTTTCCACTGCCTTTCCTTCTGAAGAGGTTGCCCTTCTGCAAGGCCAACGTACTCTCCCATGCCTACTGCCTGCATCCAGATCTGATCCGCTTACCCTGTGGTGACATCACCATCAATAATATTTTTGGTCAATTCATTGTCATCTCTAACTTTGGTCTGGATTCTGCACTCATTCTCCTCTCCTATGTGCTCATATTGCGCTCTGTACTTGCCATTGCATCCCAGGAGGAAAGACTTAAGACACTCAATACATGTGTGTCACACATGTGTGCTGTGCTCATGTTCTATGTGCCTATGGTTGGTGTGTCCATGGCTGCTCGCTATGGGAGGCATGCCCCACAGTACATGCACACACTCATGTCCCTTTTCTATCTCTTTTTGCCTCCTATGCTCAACCCGGTCATTTATTCCATCAAAACCAAAGAGATTCGACAGAGGCTTTGCAAAATACTACTAGGAAAAAAGTTTTAAGCAGGAGAAATGTTAAAATTCCAAGATTCCAAGGATATATGTTGTTAGTCCACAAATTTGAGTTTCTAAAAACTGCTTTGACAAAGCTTTTTAAATTTCTTTTTAGTCACTAAGCAATATTAGGATTTCTGCCTGACAATAGTTATGACCCAAGCCAACAGGTTTTGACCAGGTAAACTGGGTCATAATTTAGCAAAAACAAATAAAGAAAACAAAACAACGTTTGCTCAGTTTCCCTTTTTTAATCCAAAAATATATATTCTCATAACTAGTCCCTCATTTCAGTGTGGTATATTTGTCTTATCTTTGCTGAAACTGAATCAGCACAAAAGAAATTGTGGAACCTCTGTCATAATGGGTAAAGGAATTTGTTTCCCCAAGTTTATGTCAAACGTAGTTCTATTTTTTAATTTTTTTGAGGAATATTCTTACTGTTTTCTATAGTGGATGCACTATTTTACATTCCCACCAATGGCGTGTATGGGTCCAAATTTCTCTACATGTGTCGTCTTTTTGTTATTGTTATTTTATTTTGTTTTGTTTTGTTCTGTTTGTTAATAGCTATTTTGAAGGTGTGAGGTAATATCTCATTGTGATCTCAATCTGCATTTCCCTAATGGTGAGTGATGTTGAGCCATTGTATGTCTTGTTGACCATTTGTAAAGTCTTATTTGGAAAAATGCCTATGCTACTCCATAGCCCATCTTCAAATCAGGCTATTAGTTTTTATCCTATTAAATTGTAGGTGTTCCTTATATATTTTGGAGATTAACCCCCCCTTATCAGATATATGGTCCGCAAATATTTTCACATTTGCCTTTACACTTGATTTTTTCCTTTGCTATGCAGAAGCTTCTTAGTTTGGTGTAGTCTTAGTTGTTTATTTTGTTTTTGTTACCTGTGCTTTTGCTGTCATAACCATATGATCCAGCAATCTCACTTTTGGATATTTATCCAAAAGAATTGAAATCAAGATGTCAAAGAGATATTGCCATGCCTGTGTCACAGCACTATTTAAAATAGCCAAGATGTGGAAATAACCTAAATGTCCATCAGCCAACGAAGGGATAAAGAAAATGTGTCATATACATAAAATGGAATACTGTTCATCCATAGAAGGAAATTCTGCACTATGTGACAATATGGAGGACCTTGAGGACATTACCCTAAAGTGAAATAAGACAGTCACAGAAAGACAAGTACTGCATGATTCCACTTACATGAGTTACAGAAAATAGTCAAATTCATAGAATCAAAGAGTGCAATGGTGGTTGCCAGGGGCTGGGGAAAGAGGGAAATAACCAGTTATTAATTGATGGGCATAAAATTGTAGTTAAGCAAGATGAATAAGCTGTAAAGATCTGCTGTGCAACATTGTATCCATAGTCAACAATAATATAATGTGAACTTAAAAATTTGTTAAGAGGGTAGATCTCATGTTAAGTGTTTAAATAAAGGTTTTTACAAAGATTATGCAAAAGAATATTAGTTAAAATTATATATATGTTGTAGCTCTTCATGTCAGCATTTGTTCCATAAAATACACACTATTTATCAACTTTTTAAAAAAGATTTAATTTATTTATTTGACAGACAGAAGTCACAAGTAGGCAGAGAGGCAGGCAGAGAGAGAAGGGGAGGTAGGCTCCCTGCCAAGCAGAGAGCCCAATGTGAGGCTCTATCCCAGGACCCTGAAATCATGACCCGAGCCGAAGGCAGAGGCTTTAACTCACTGAGCCACCCAGGCGCCCCTACTTACCAACGTTTAAGATAAAATCAAGACAATTGTGATATAAATTGTACTAAGTAACCTAGGTTTCAAAAATAAAATGTAGTAAAGTGTGTATTACAATATACACCATATATGTTCACATACACACCATATATGTTCATATAAATATGAACAATAGAAATTCATTTATTAACAAACAATAAAGAAACAATGAAAGAGGGCACACTGCATAGCAAAACATGAGACCTATGCAACGATATATTCTCCCTAAATCCATGGTCTTATAAATGTTAATGGTACTTTTTATGACAAAAAAAGAGAGGAAGATAAGAAATTAAGCATTCAGGGTGCTGGGGTGGCTCAGTGGGTTAAGCCTCTGCCTTTGGATCGGGTCATGATCTCAGGGTCCTGGAATCGAGTCCCGCGTCAGGCTCTCTGCTCAGCAGGGAGCCTGCTTCCCCCTCTCTCTTTGCCTGCCTCTCTGCCTACTTGTGATCTCTCTCTGTGTGTCAAATAAATAAATAAAATCTTTAAAAAAAGAGAAATTAAGCATTTAATTTAAGACATTGTAAAAGAATAAAATATTACATAAAATTACTTTAAAACAAAAATGTTAAAAGGGCTGAATGACAGTGAAAAAGAAATACTAAAAATAGTCCAATAATCAATCTTTAACAAACTCCCAAAATAGACCAACCTCCAAAAGTCTAATGAAATGAAAAATAAACTTAAGAATCATATATAATACTAGATTAGAGGTATCTTTTTAAATTACAGTAGCATGTCCTATAAGTAATATGAAGTCTTGGATGAATGGGTGTTTCAAGGAAAATTATAATATGTAAATCCATGAAGACTTAACTGATAATTGAGGAAGAAATGAAAACTTAACAATTACACTCTCACATCTCCAACATATTATAGTACAAGATCTTTTTTCTTTGCTTTTCTCCCCACATTTCAAGAAATAGATCATGTTTTTTATATATCTTGTCATAAATAAAATTAGAAAACTACAAAATAGCACATATAATTCTGATAAACAATATAGAAAAAAACATATGTCAGCAAACAATCCTGTAGACAAACACATTAATGGGAACATATGTGTAAATACTGAAAGTTGTGAGTACAATTAATAATATAAACCAAGAATAATCAACATTATTCTAGGATTAAAAGAATGACTCATTTTTCAGAAATTCATCAATATAGTTCATCATATTAATGAGAGGAATCATGAAAAAAATATGTAAGCAATAGTAGATTCCAGAAAGGGTAACTAATGAGACCAAAAACCCAAAAATATATAAAAATAAAATAAATTTTTCCATATATTTTCTTAATGTGTTATATTGTATACTTTCTGGTTAAAATTTTAGAAATTTGCCGTATATATATATATATATCTTTTTTATTTTTTGTCATCACTTACCACTTTCTGGAGGAATCTTTAAGCGATGAAGTGAAACTTGAAATAGAAATAAATGACTATTTTGGGGCGCCTGGGTGGCTCAGTGGGTTAAAGCCTCTGCCTTTGGCTCAGGTCATGATCCCAGGGTCCTGGGATTGAGCCCTGCATTGGACTCTCTGCTCCGTAGGGAGCCTGCTGCCCCCCGCTTCTCTGTCTGCCTCTCTGTCTACTTGTGATCTCTGTCAAATAAATAAATAAAATATTTAAATAAAAAAAAAGAAAGAAATGAGTATTTCACCTTACCCTGTATCTGTAACTTGATACAAAATCCTGACAACTCTAGATTTTGATTTTTCCAATCTTTACCTCTACCTAACAACTGTTGCTACCTTAATTCTGGCTTTCATTATCATCTTCACTTCACTTGGCAATATCTTCCAAACTGATCTATTGTTTAATGATCTTTTCTCTTGTTTTCTCACACTGCAGCCAGAACAATCTTCTTAAAGACTCTATTTGATTACAAAACCCTCTAGCCTTCAATGGCTCTTACTGTCTATGGGTAAAGTCCAAAAGCCTTAGCATGTCTCTTAATAATATCACCACTGTATTTCTGATGTCTTAATATCTCAACCATCCCCACTCTCCAAACAATGTTATTTTGCTCTGGCCATATGGAACTATATGTGATTCCCAAACCAATAGGCTGCTTTATGCCTCTGTACCTTTGTTCTGAAAACTTTTACTTAGAAAATCTTGTCCATTTTTATCTGCCTAGAAATTGCATATCATTCTAATTGTTTATTAAAAATATGTATTAGACAGATACAATGAGCCAGACAGTGGTTCAGCTTCTCAGTTATCTGCTCTGTATAACATTTTAAGGAATTCCTTTACTACCTGCCTTCTAGCTACATGGTCCCCTCATCTCTAATAGTGATAAAACAGAGATTTTATTATTTTTATATTTATAATGTATTTGTGTAGAATTATACCACAGCAGCTAGATATCGTTCTGTACTACTTCATATATAGCTCCTATTTGAATCATAAGCCTCCTGAAAGAATGAATTGTTTAACATTAGAAACAATGTGAACTTTGTACAAGGCAGATCATAGCCTTAGAAAAATCCCAACTTCTCTGAACCTCACAGTTTACTCATCTGTAAATTGTTACCAAAATAACCAGATTATATTTTTATAAAGTTTAGAGATAATGTTTGCAAGATGGTTGGTACATTGTTTGCATATAATAAGTACTCAAAAAGGAAAAATCTTACATTAAAATAACCAAATTACTCTTAGAGCTTAACCTTGTAAAATAGTACACATTTTGATAAATGCTTATTGATTGGGTAAATGAATGAATGCAATCATATTATTATTATTTGCAAGTGATATAGTTTGTGGATTAAGAAAACACAAAGATCTGGGAGAACCATTTTGCATGTCAACTGACCTCAAAAGAAAGCTAGGGTAGCAATTTTAATATCAGACTAATTAGATTTTAAGCTAAAGACTGTAGCTAGAGATACAGAAGGTCTCTGTATCATTCTTAAAAGGTCTATACAACAAGAGGATCTAACAATTGTAAATACTCATGCTCCCAACATGGGAGCAGCCAACTATGTAAGTTAACATTAGTTATTATGGTTAACATAACTGTTAACCATAATAAGGAGACATATTGATAATAATACACTAATAGTTCAAGACCTCAACACTCCACTCTCAGCAATAGACAGATAATCTAAGCAGAAAATCAATAAAGAAACAAAAGCTTTGAATGACACACTGGACCAGATGGACCTCATAGATATATGCAGTACATTCCACCCTAAAACAACAGAATAC